CAAACGAGCTTTGCAGCGCGTCACTTTCATCCTAGACCAGGATTTATGTAGTGAGAAAAAAACTCTCTCTGCCGGGACTCGAACCCATGACCTGGCCCTTAGCAGGCTGCGAGGCTACCCACTAGACCACCGGGGAGACCGGTGGCAAGATGACTGTACGACTGTACCATGATGATCGCGTTTGACCAATCAACACCGTGTCACCTGCACTCTCACGGCCGCGATCCTCAAGCCGGGGCAGCCTCGAAGCCACAGGCCGATCGACCCGCCTTCCGCTCTCGGGGTGATGAGGTACTCGGGGGTCTCCCTGCTTAGCTTTGACCGCACCTATTCGGAGCGCGGACAATAACAACGGGATGAGGGCGTGGGGTGAATCTCATATCACAAAAGCCCACGCATGGGTTGAAACCGTCGCCGCTTCACGAGCCGAAGTCCCGCCAGACATTTCTTCTACAGCGTCTCAGCAGCAGCAGCAACAATCTACCGACCCAGCGCGGGGATAGGAAGCAAGTTCGAACGCCTCCACGTCACTAGCAGCTAGAACATCCCTCCTCGGCGTTGCCAAGGGAGAGGCGGGGAACTTGACGCCATTCTCGCTCTTGTTTCTTTGGCTACGACGGCTGTGGCAGGCCGTTGTTTGTGATACATACCGTATATGACACAAGATAACACACCCCCTGGACCAATTTTCAATGCTCGATTATTCCACGACGAAGCGGATGCACAAACGAAACGATACATTTTTTGGAAAGCTCTCGACGACACGGTTCCAACGCCGCCGTTTTCGGCAAGCGACTCTTTCTGTTGTTGAAAAAATCAAGATTCGAAAATCGGTCCAGGGGATGTGTTCTCTTGTGTCATTTACGGTAATCTCGGAAGCGCGCGCACAGCGCCAACGAAACAAACCACCGAAGAACTCGAAAAAGAGGAGACGACGAGGCTTACCTGTTGGTCTCCGTGATTCGGATCGATCGCGTGGCCACAGTAGCACAGTCTCGGGTCCGCGGTCACGTTCTCGAGGGACTCAAAGATCTGCAAAGTCGCGGGGAGCGGCATTGGACGCGGAACGCCAACAAGGTCAAATCGAAGCGAACTTGTTGACCTTAATTTACCAAAGTATTACTTCTGGCCCTTCTGCGAGGCCAAGCGCCTTAGAACGCCGGTACAAATCTATCGTTCGAGTATGCCCATGTCTACACGCAATTACATCAATCTGGATCCAATTGAAGCAGCTCCTGTTTCTAACGTTCAAAGCCACACGTCTGAGGTGCAGCGAGCACACAGCAGTCGGGGGCACGGACGAGCTGCACGTCGAACCGTTCTTGACTCCCCCAAACATCTTGTCGAGACTACCGTGGCATGCGACACACAGCAGTTATACGTCTAGTGAATCGCTCCATTTTTTGAGAAACACCCACAAAACGAGAAGGGGCACCTTATGAGAGACACCCGAAGCAAGGACCGCCATGAAAAACAAACACTTGAAGACTGACATCTGTTTATTGGCCAGTCGGTTAGCGCCGGCAATGCAAATCAAGACAACAATATGTACAAACTATCAAGGGCGAGAGGTGTCACCTCTATTGGAAAGCGCGGAGCGCCTTCGGAGTCGCCTGGCGGCAGTCGCGAGGCGAGAGATTGCGAGCCGTTCGTGTCCTCGGGGGGCACCTGCGAGAAAGAAAGGATAGCGTTGAGGGCCAGGTCGCGCAAAAAGTCGGATCGCAAACACCAGTTACAACGCGGCGCAACACATGGATCAGAGGCTGACCCGTTTACATTCTTTTGTCGCTTTTCTTCCGAAACATTGGCTGCAACGCCATGCCGTTCGATAGACGAGGAAAACGAGACGGCTATGAATCAACACGCTCGCCGTTGAGACCGAGGCCGACGCCATTTCGTCTGTTGTCGCTTCATGCACTGAGGCTCGCTCCCAAGCCACCTGAACTACAGCAGCCCCCGTATCGGGAAAACGAAACCGTCAACAAACAAGTGCACCCAAGGGCACCAACAGTCAGAAATACCTACAACCAGAGTCATCCCCCCCGCTCCCCAGCCTGGTCCGGTGAGAACCCGGCGTGCTCCGTCCCGGCTATGTAAGGATGCGACGTCAAGGATCTAACGAATTCGACATTCATAGCTATGAGTACCCCCCCCCCCCCCCCTCCCCCGCTGCACATGTCGTTGACCGGCATTAGGAGTTCGGAAAGACAGCGGAATTTGGCCGTGGGAGGATTCCCTACCCCCCGTGCGGTGCAACGAACCGCCTTGTTTGAAAACGCCCTCTTGTATTTTCCTGCCAAGCGGGCCCCGTGAGTCTTGGGGCCTCATCCAAGTATGCCAGGGTCTGTGTTGTGCGCTACAGCCTAAGAGTTGAATGAAGTTCCTCCAAGCAAATTCTGACACAGGGCTGAAACGTTCTTCCCGAGGGTGCGGAAAGTGTCGCAGAGAGCAGATGAGCGAGATTCAGCGGTGCAGCCTTGTACTCCTGTTGGATTAAGGCGCGCATCCTTGAGGGCGCCGATTGCGCGCTACAATAGCTACCATATATAATAACACTTCGGCAAGTTCCTAGACACTTGCAGAGCGCATGCCGTCGGCGAACCATTGTAAATGTTTAAATACATCCGTTTTGCTCATGCACAGTCTGTTAGAACAGGCGTGTTCATCCACAAGCAGCTCTTACACGACTTGGTAAGAGGCATTCGTTGAAAGACGTGGAGCTACTTATCATAAAAGGAACAGCCTTTATTCCCTAACCCCGCGAGGCATGCCGCGACACTACACAGCAGTACTGTACATGGATATCCGACATCAGCACCACTTTTGTTCCCGCTAACCAGACGCCGCGATACGCACGTGGAAACCCCTTTGTTTGTTCAACAGGTACCCGTGGCTGTACAGGAACGGGGTAGACGACGAGCTGTTGACCAAGAAGTTCTTCTGGGGGTGGATAGCGCAGGTGCGGACCACGTGCAGCATCGGGGGGGG